CCATGGATCATGTTTTTAGGGCACGATTATGTGACTTAAAATTTGAATGAATCTTGAAACTTCGGATCGATTGTGTGCTTGTTCCTTGATGTTTTTCTGTGATTTCTTCACTAGAGTACACTGAGCATGCCATCATGATCGTGGGGAAACTAACGTAGCTCGATTTCATGTCCGGACAAAGGTTTTGCAACTTTGGAATTTTGGTCAGAATCTGGAAATCCAGCGACGGAATTTGCAGTCACTTTGTCGACTTCGTGCGCAAAATCTAACCGTTCATCATATACAGGGTTCGGGTTAGAGATAGCCCAAGACCTTACGCACGCAAAGGAATTGGTCTCGCGTCGATCAAGCTCACAAGTGGAGTGTGTTTGGCTACTCGAGTGAGGTACGACACTGCTGAATTTCCTACACTTTCTACATGGATCAACAACTTCTTTTTAGCTTTTCTTCGCGCTTGGGCATTGTCACGTGGCGTGTCACATATTGAAATGCTTGTCTTAATGAGACGTACACGTTCACAGAATTTGGGTTTGATCCAACCTCGAACGAGTGAGATATGAGCATCAAAAGTCACTGGTCGTGACTGTTCCTTCAATGGTGTGGAGTTGTAGGGTGGCCGTACGAGAATAGCGTGCAACTCCTGCTGTTTTGCTCTTTCGCCTATAACTTCTTCCTAGAGTGTCCGTTTAAGCTGAAATTTGACCCCTAGGGGTTTTCAACTATGGCGGATCCAATGGTGGTGGTCCCACAGAAAATTGAGAAACCAAAAATGTAGCTCTAGTTATAGGGTCCGTTTCAAGGCGCTAGAGGCCGATTTTGCCGAAACTGTTTCTCAGTCTGCACTGCTTTAGACATGTCGGAATGCAACGAAACTTCGCTAGAGACTTTTGAGAGACCTCATGAAGATCTTGGTAAGTTTTGGGGCTATTATGAGACGGTCAGAATTTCCACTGTTTGTTAGGCTTTTTATGCACGGGGGTCCCATGATGATGAAAAATATCTTCCAACACTATGGTCCCGTGGTTTTTACTCCTCACTTTGGGTAGGTTTTCCATGACAAAAATTGATCGTGTTTGCGTGTGTGTTTGTGGTGCATTTGGTTGTTGATTTGGGAGCTTAATAATTGCCTTTAATGTGTTTGATATATTGCTATCTACTTAATTACTTCCTATTAGGTTCAATAAAGAGGGGAGAATTGTTTGGTTCTGTTGTGCTTGTTGTTCGGGTATCACTCGGTTTGTTTTTCTCCCCAACAGAGAAGCCAATATGGCCGCTGTTCCCTTGGCCAAAGCGGCGGTTTCAAATGATGCGATGGTGTGGCGAGCAATATTTTTTAATGCCTTTGGTTTTATAATATCCCCTTCCCATAGGTTATATAAGAAATGTTCATCTAACATATTCTTACTTTCTCAATATACGGGTACGGCGCTTATATCCCCACTTATTCACAAAAAAATAAACAAAAAACAAAAAAAACAAAACAAAGCAGATATCCCAATGTAACCGCTGTGTCCGTAAAGTTATTTATTTGATTGGATTTTTCAAGGTTCCATTGTGAAGTTATATTCCCACATGCTTATTTACATTTCCTCTGTCTCTGTCAACTTCCATTCAGAACATCCTCCAAAACAGAGTTCCGCCGTTCTCTCAAACCAAAGAAAACCTCTCTCACTCCCTGAAAATGCAAAACCTCTCTCACTCCCTGAAAATGCCGAGATACCTGAGGGAGGAAGTCGAGAGGTGCACGTTTTATGTGGTTTCGCTACTCTTGGCGTCCTGCTTTCTTTACACTTTCACCAGTGATCCGAAACCCCGCTTCAAATATGCAGTATGGGGCCTCGGTTGGTCACTATTCCTCTACCGCGCATTGCAACCCGTCCTCCGCGACTTGCTAGCCTTCCTCCCCTCACAGAATGATGAACCCTCCAACCCTGATACGTCTAATGGAGCTGGGGGCGATGAATTGGTTTAGAGAGAGAGAGGGAGATATGACTAAGCCTCATCTGATATCTTTGTCTCTTTTAATCTATCTTTGCTCTTTGCTCTGGAATTCGTTCTCCCTCTATCTGTCTTGTCGTCTTGAAATGCTTCTTTTTCTGCCATTGTTCTTGAGACGCTTCTTTCCTCATCCACACCATCTTCGAATGCTTCTTTCTCTCTTACTGTTTTTGGGATGCTTCTTACTCTCGGATCAGCATCATTCTTTGAAATTCGAATGCTGCTCTCTTTCTCATCATCTCTCTCTCTCTCTCATTCTCTCTGTGAGCTAGCTCATTTGATCGCCAACGATGGCATTTCTACGGCATTGAAATGGGTTCTTTGACGGTCCATGTTTTTTCTGCTTCTTTGATGCTACATGCTTTTTGCCCCTCAGAGAACGGCTAAGTCTTGGCCTTTGAAGCATTGCCTGCAAATAGGGCTTATACTTTTGTTTTGAAGGGGAAGAACTAGAACGAGACCAGCTCCATCGACACGAGTAAAAGAACGCCATTACTCAGTCTTCTTTTCTCATCATTCCTGATGGCCGTACACTTTCTCTCATCGGCCTTCGAAGGCCTCTCTTTCTCTCCGTCTTATTTTTTCTCTCTTTAACGTTTCTTGAGATGTCTTTCAATCTTTTAGTTGTTTGTCTTTTACGACCATTGATTTTGACATATTATAAGGCCTGAATGTTATTTCATTTTCGTCAAAGGTCAGTATGGCATATATCCTGCAACTGTTATAAGTTATATGCGTTATATGTACAGTAGGGAAATTAAATCATACAGAATTGTATATGAAGAGACTGTTAACTTGTACGGAGATCACAAACACTCTTGTCAGATTTTTAATCCCGTGATTTTTGCTGTTTCATTAACTAGACTAAAAGTTCAAACAAAAAAAACTTTCTTGCTATAATAACAATCCCTAACAAAAAAAAACTGTCTTGTTTTAATATCAATCCCTAAGCCATCGACATCAAATAGCTGGTACAGGTAAATGGTCTTATAACATATAATCTAATAGCTAGAAGCAAAGGTAAATGGTCTCATAACATATAATCTTCCCTGACAAAGTCAAAGATGATGTTCTTGTTGAGTCGCACAACGCAAATTCACTCGCCATGAGCATTTGGAGCAAAATCGGAAAGAGATTTAACGGAACCATGCACGCATTACAAACATTTAGCGGTGGCAACAGGTTGGGTCGGGTCCGCACCCGGACCCAAAAATATAGTGTGGGATCCAGACCGTTTGGCCCCCACCCAAAAATTTTAAAAATCTAGAGTTATTTACTTACGGATTTTAAATAAATTAAGAAAATATGAGTTATTTTTTATAGACTCGAAAATTACAATCAAAGTCAATCAACATGACTTTTTTTTTTTGACAAAATTACTCCCTCGTGCATGCCATCCTCAAACCATTTGTTTTGTGGTATGAGGATGTCATTATTGGACTATTTTTTTTTTTCAAAAACATAAGTTGAGGTCCGAGGATTTCAACCTCGGATCGAAACTTAAGATCTAAAAAAAAAATATGTCTAAGAATGCCATCCTCGGACCGCAACTTTAAGTTTTGAAATAAAGAAAAAGAAAGAAGCGGTCCGTGGATGCCATCCCCGAACCGCTTTTTTTTTCAAAACTTAAAAGTGGTCCTGGGATGCTATCCCCCGACCACTTTTATTTTTTTGTCAAAACTTAAACTCGCGGTCCGACGATGGCATTCTCAGATCAAAACTTAAGCTTTCAAAAAGAAAATCGGTCCAGGGATGGCTACTTTTTTATTCCAAAATTTGGAGCTGAGGTCTAAGGATGACATTCTCAGAGCAAAACTAAAGTCTTGAAAAAGAAACGTAATCCGAGAATGCCATCCTCAGACAATAACTTAAGTTTTGACACCAAAAAAGTGGTCCAAAAATGTCATCCTCCGATTGAGGTGTAATTCTGTAAAAAAAAAATCGTGTTAATCGACCTTGATTGTAATTTTCAAGTATAAGTGAGCCAACCGTATTTTTATAACTTATTTAAAGTCCGTACGTAATTAACTCAAAAATCTTCTTATTTAATTATATTTAAATATATTTCTTATATTAGGACCTGAAAAATATTATCGACCCCGATAGAGAAACTTTGATCCATTAACAAAAGAAATAAAAAAATTAACATAGTAGAAAACGAACTCACGTCCACATTGGCACGGCCCTACCTCTTGATCCACACGCTCATGCAATATACTCTCTCGCTCATAATGCCTCACTATCTGGGACGGAAAGCCCTCTATCTCTCTCCCTATCTCTTCTCTTCCCGTAGTGACTCACAATCCCTTACATACACGTCATGGTGATGCCCCTCACAATGCCTCAAATTTAAGACATTAACACATTGTTCATCTAAATCCTAAATGACCTAATCAAAATTTGATTTATAATTTTTTGTCAGTAATTCACTTTTTTTTTTTTTTAATGTGATAACCCAATTTATTTAGGAGTATTAGTGATGATAACTCTTAACACTCCCACTCAATATTAACTCTTTGCTCATAACACCAAGTTGCTCTCTAAACTTCATAAACACAGTAAAATGCAAATTCTTTGTAAACTTTTTTGCAATTTGCTCCTGTATATTTATGGGTCAAATGTCAATGTATCCGCTCAACATTTTATCCTAAGGAGGTGGACTTTACTTCAATATGTTTCATTCTTGCTTAAATACCAGATTTTTTTTTGTAATTTGTATGTTGCTCACTGTCGCACTACACTCGGACTGCATAATTTGTAGGGAAAATTACAAAAACCCCCAAAATGCACTATTCATGCAAGTTACCCAACTTTTCTCTCTCATCTTTTTCCCTTCAAGCAATTATCCTCGCAAAACCCCCCAACCAAAAAAAAAGAGACGAAAGTTACCTTTTGCCCTTTTCTTTCCCACTTATCCCTTTTCTCACTTACCCATATTTCACCCTTCCTCTTTTACCCGTAACGCAGAAGCTCTTCTCACCCTTATGGCCCGAGCTCGCTTTCTTCCCATTTCTCCACCTCACGGCCCCAAGAACCTCAGCATCTATCACGGCCCCCAGCTCACCTCACGGCCCCTAGCCCCTTCCTATTTCGTGGCCCCAAGCTCACCGTCATGGCCCCGAGATCCTCTCCATCTCTCACTTTAACTTTGCGGCCCGAGCCCCTTCCTATTTCGTGGGTAGAAGTTTTACCCCTCTCTATGTTCGAAGGAACGTCTGCCCGAGCTCTCTCCATCTCTCTACGAAAGAAGATTGGGCTCTCAAAATCTGTGTCCCATCCTCATTTTACCTCAAATCAGCCCAATCTAAGGTTAATTTATTTATTTTTTAATAAAATCATTCGAAATATATTGGCATTGACAATCTGTTGTATTTGATTTTGCATTAAGTTATTTGATTTGGCATTGACATTGAATCTGTTGTAATATAGTGTTTATTGTATGTTCCTTCACATTCCTGAGTGAGAATCAAGTCGTCATGAATAAGAATCCTATGATCTTGGTTTTGATATAAATATTGTGAAAAATGAATGATGGATTTTCAAATGAATATTGTGAAGGATTTTCAAATGAATATTGTGAAATCCGAATGATGCACTTCAATACATAGAACATCCTACCCTTCATTTCCAGCAATTACGACATCAAAGATCATCATTTCCAGGTCTAGTTGAGCTCAGGGAATTCGATGTAAAGGCTGTTTTGTTTGGCTTAATTGAAATTCGTAAATAGTCGGTGATGTAGGACCCTTCAAGATTTGGCATACGCAAAATGAAAGCTAAGGACCCCTATATTTGATTTGTATGTTTTAATATATTGAGCTAACTATGGCTATTTCTAGAAATAACGGATAGTTGATGGAAACTTAGTGAAATTTATGAGAATTTTGTATGTTCAGTTGTTGTTTTTGTTGCTGAAGCCCATTCTAGATAATTGGATTAAGGCGCGGACAATAATGATGATGATGAATTGTTGTTGATGTCAATGATGTTATAAAATGCTGGTCTTGTTGGTTTTCTTTTTTATTTTTTTAAGTAAAACAGTGTAGAAATTGTTGTTATCTCAAATGATTGTTGTGAAATTAGACTTCATGTAATTGGCATAGAGTTGAAATTAGTTCTGTTGATTTATGGAAATTTAGGGTACTTAACTATCATTAGTAATATTCTCCACAAATTTAGGGTACTTAACTACCATTTGAGGTATTTGAGGAAAGGGCAGTAGCCATCTTATTGTGTCACAAAACATATGAGTAGAGCCAACCTGGAAGCTATGTTGCATGGGTTCTTTTTTTTTAATGTCGTACCTATTTTAGACATGTATTGACAATTTTACACACATACTGACCTAGATTCTTTTGTAATCTCCATTGTAATACCCACTGATTGAAAGTATATGTTTATATCCACAAAGTCATTAGTGTTGTATTCATATAATCTTTGAGTTTGTTTATTTGTGGGGTGTAAATTATTACAAATCTTATGCATGACAAAATAAAATGAGTAATAGAAGATTGATTTATTGTATTTGTAGTGGACAACTCCAATCAAATATCAATGGGACTTTGGATTATATTGGTGGTGATGCATGTACATTTATGATTAAAAATAGAACTAGGTTAGATGACCTATGAAAATACGTAGTAGAGCGTTTCTCGCAAGGCATACACTTGCTATCATTGAGGTATTTTGTCTTAGGAAATAGAAGATTTATTGTGAATCTATTCATTGACGATGATATTGAGAGGATGTTGAATGCATATGAAGGCGAGAATAATGTCTTGATTTATGTATTTGATGGGAGTGAACAAAGGATTGGCTATACTTCATGTAACCTTAGGGCAATCGAAGAGGCCAAAACCCCCCAATCCTTTAATGTTTTGGTCTCTGGTTCTAAACAAAACAATGCACCAAGGTTGCTTAGTCCATGGGAGGATGCACTTACCGGTATAGGCCAACAATTTGAATCCCTAGAAGACTTCTGATAAGCCCTTAGCAAGTTTACTATAGCACACCATTTTACTTACCGTCTTATTAAAACTGAGGGGTATTGTATAAGGGCGAGATGCAAGGGTGATGGTTGCAAATGGGAGATATATGCTTTGAAGTTTGACAAGACGAATGTCTTTAGCATCAAAACATGGAAAAAAGAACACTCATGTAATATTGGGACAAGCAATGATGTACAGAGAAGAGCATCACAAAAATTTATTGCATCATCAAGGATAAATTAAGTGACACAATGCAGTACAAGGATAAAGAAATCATCAATGATTTGTCTCAAGATTATGGGCTAGAAATACCCTATCGCAAGGTTTGGCGAGGGAAAGAAAAGAGGGAAAGAAATGACATACATGGTTCACAAGAGAAGGCATACAACCAATTACCCGCATATTCGAGTGATGGAGATAAATCCTGGTAGTTATACGACAGGACAAGTATGGGAAAATGATAGATTTCGTCGAATGTTCTTAAGATTTTATGACTCAATACACAGCTTCAAAAGTGGTTGTCGTCTATTTCTCGATGGGACATCACTAAAGGCATGATACCTTGGAGCTTTACTGGTTGCAAACTCACTCGGTGGAGAAAAACAAATGTTTGCTATTGCATTCGCTATTGTGGATGCCAAAAGTACCGACAACTGGTTGTGGTCTATGAAATCTCTAAAGATTGCTATTGGGACAAATTGTGAAATCACTTTTTTGTCTGATAGACACCCTGGCCTAGTTGATATTGTTTGTCAAGTTTTTGAGAATGCCCATCATGCCTTATGTGAGCATCATTTAGCGGAGAATTTCAAGAAAGAAGTAAAAGACGTACCTAATGATATTAAGAAGACAGTTGTAAATACTTTGTCAGAGCATGTAGAGCATACATGCCACAAGAGTATTTTGACAATATTAGTGAAATTAGGTCTATTTCTGAGGTCGCATTCAAGTGGTTCATGGAAGCATCACCAAACTGTTGGGCCACATCACTCTTCAGGGGTAAATGATATAATCAAGAAACAACCAATGTGACTGAGTCATATAACAAGTGGATTCTAGAAGCACGTGACATGCCAATTCTCTAGTGCTCTGAGTTGATTAGAAGACAAATCATGAAACTAATGGCCACCGGCAGCTTGGAAGCTAAATCCTGGACCACAACACTTACCCCGCATGTGCAAAAGGAACTGATAACGATCATAAAGCAATCCCTTTCCGTTAGGGTCACTGTGTCAAGTGGAGCAGTGTTGAAGCAAAGGGTGATAGCAGGAATTATAAGGTAAATATAATTGCACGAGAATGTGAATGCCGGGGTTGGCAAATTATGGGCTTGCCCTACAAACATGCTTGTAAAGTCCTCAATGGATGAATAGGGATCTGATCGACTATTGTGAAGACTATTTTACGGTTGCAAAGTTTTGTGAAACATATTCCGAACCTATCATGCCAATTACCTTGATCGATCTATCTGAGCGTACGCGTGCACAAGTTCCTGTAGATGGAATAAGAGTACTTCCACCTCACTCAAGACGGCCCCCTCGCCGACTTAAAAAAAAGCACATCAAGTCACAGAAAGTACCAGTTCGACCTATTCACTGTAGTAGGTGCAAAGGAACTGGTCACAACAGGGCAAGATGTAAAGCACTCACTTGAAGGCATTTTTTTTAGTTATCTTCTTTGTTCAGTTTTTTTAAATGTAACACCCACTTCATTGTATTGAGTATGCCATTTTGTATTGGATATGCCATTTTGTAAACACATATATTGGATACGCCATTTTTCTCTCTCTTTTTAGTTATATTCTTTGTTCAGTTTTCTATCTCTTTTCTTTTTAGATTGGATATACCACTGTTCTATCTCTTTTCTTATTGGATTGGATATGTCAATGTTCTATCTCTTTTCTTATTAGATATGCTACTTGTGGTTAATTTTTTATGCCAATTATGATAATATAATTAGCAATGCAAGACCCAGAACAACTAAGAGGTACAATGGTCTACTTGTTTTACTAAATGATTTACATTAATCAAGTATTTCTCAAGTGACTGACTATTTTAATTTCTTGTTAATTTTCATTTTAGGATAGAAAGATACTTCATATTGATGAATCAACTCAAGCCTTAGCAAAATGGAAGCTCGATCAACGACAGGTACCTCTAATTCATAAGATCGGGTTTAGCCAATTGATGGATATTGGGGTCTCACGTATGGATTGCAAGGAAACGAATATTGCAAATTTAAGCATTGGTGAAATGGGTTCAATATTATATGATGCATGGCAGATATTAAGGATACTTGTGACAGGTGAGCCTATAACCGGCATCAGGTCTGAAACCTATATTTCTTTTATCAAGGAGTACCTAGGAGATTTCTCTAAAGATGCCACCCCGATGGGTCTAAATCATACATTGTTGAGGAGTAGATTTGGCCAACTCCCAAAAAAACCCACCAAATTACAACTCACGTAGCACACAAGAGCATATCTCCTCTATCTAGTTGGGAAAACAAATTTTGCCAACTCATCTAAAGGATCGACACTTTCAATATATCTGTAATTGTTTTGAGATTTTGATGAGGCAGGAAAGTATGCATGGGGTGCTGTGACTCTTGCTTTCTTATATCGTTCATTGTCCAAGGTCGCAGGTGGGGAAAATAATCATTTTAGTAGGTCAGCGACGTTACTACAAGTATTTCTCACTATTTCTATTATATATATTTACAATCTTACAATTTATGTGGCTTCTTACTTTTATTTCCTTTTCTACATTGTTGGATCTATGAGCATTTTCGAGCTCTAGCTACCAAGCCTACATTGGTCATCAACCCAGAGATGCCTAGGGGTTGCATGTGGAAGAAACAAGCACGACACAAGAACATCTCATTTGACCATATCTCGTTCAATATGGTTAGTGATTGGCTTGTGAGCTTATAACATAGTAGATAATATCTCGTTCAATATAGAATGTTTTTCCTTGTTGTTAATATCTCATGCTTATTTTTGTAGGTGACCTTGCAACCGTATGGGGAGTCACAGGAAATTGCTAAGTACTTCATGTGTCTATCATACCTCATTAGTTTCAATGTTGTGGAGTATTACATGCCCAATAGCGTGTTGCGACAATTTGGGAAGATGCAAGGTATTCCTATTATGCCACCCAAGTGGGATAGGAGGGAGAAAATCAGTGTACACTCACAAACTGGACTATCGAATTGGGTAGGCAGATAAAAGATTGGAAACAACAAGAATGTAACATTGTTAAAGCACCTTTAGATAAATCTGGTGGAGTACCTACTGAAGACTGCATGGCCTGGTACAACATGTTACGCAGGGAAAAACACCATTTCGCCCCCCATCGCAATCGCAATCGCAATCCCATGTACAGTCTTTCGCAAGCCAATTGATTGGTATAATATTTATGATATGCATTTTTTTATTTTATCATTTTAATATAATTTAAAATTATGAAATACATATCTGATGGTAAATTTTGTTTGTTTTCACTATCTACTTGCAGAGACATACATGTATAGAGTTGTTACAAGCTGCACTTAGTGGTGAACTACTAACCGGGGAATCTAGACATTACATACAGGTGGCTCATGATCTGCTACTAAATAGCACTTATGTGGAGAGAGGTGTCGAGGAGGGTGATGAAAGTGAAAGAGAAGAAGACGATGACAATGGAGAAGAGGATGATGTCGGAGAAGATGATGATGATGGAGGAGATGATGGAGAAGAGGATGATGATGATGGAGGAGATGATGGTGATAGTGAGCATGAAGATGAGAGAAGAACAAAGCAAACAGCTAATCAATTTCAAGCACCGGCATTGCAAGAGGAATTGAGATGGAATTTGCGGTAGAGGAATTGATTTTTTTTTATTTTGGTCTTGGATATGTATATTTGAAACAAATGTTAAGTAAAAAATATGGTCGATATTGATCGTCATTCATTTGTATTTTTGAAACAGATATTAGGAAAATGATATGGTTGGTTATATTTTGATGTTGAGTTTAATATGTCTTTTTGGATTTAATATGAATGTTCGAAACAGATGTTCAATGAAGGATATGTTACATAAATGAGAGATCTCTCTTTATCTGCGATTGAAGGGTATGTTCAATGAAGAGATCTCTCTTTACATAAATGAGACATCTATCTTTACATAAATGAGAGATCTCTCTTTACATAAATGAGAGATCTCTCTTTGCATACTCTTCAATGAAGGGTATGTTACATTAATGAATGATATGTTACATAGATGTTCGAAATAGATGTAGTTTTGGACTTTATGATTGATATATATCAGTATGTTTGAAACAGATCAGTCGCTCTGGTGTTAAACTATGAAGCCATCAAAGTGAAGTGTAACTGCTTTAAGACTAACATATAAAAACCACCAAAGGCTATATAACATCACTACATAAAATTATAAACCACCACCAATCGGTAACATATAGCACTACCAAAGGCTAACATATAACATCACTAAAGAGAAACACCTAATTCAGTTTTAACATACAACACCACAAAAGGCAAAAAGCCAAAAAAAAAAAAAACCATTTCGTGACAACACTTCGCTCCATCACTACAACACCACGATCCAGCACTGCAACACATCACTCTCGCAGTACAATTCTTCACTCCGGCAATAAAGCGTCTGTAGCCACAGGCGTTCCGGTAGTAGAACAATTTGCTCAGGCAGACAATAAGCACGTTCTGGTAATAACCTTTTCTCGCTCCGGTAGTAGATCTTCTGGAGCCACAGTCGCTTCGACAGTAAACAAATACGATATGGCAGTATAAATGCACGCTCTGGGAATAACCTTTTCTCGCTCCAGAAGTAGAGCTTCTGGAGCCACAGTCGCTCCGGCAGTAAACAAGTATGACTCGGCAGTATAAATGAACGCTCCGACAGTGCTAGTAGAGCTTCTAGAGCCACAGTCACTCCGACAGTACAAATGCACGCTCCGGCAGTACGTTTTCCATGCTTCGGTAGTTAGGTTTCTGGAGCTACAGCACTCCAACAGTGGGTATACATCGCTCCGGCAATTTGTACCAGCTCTCTGGCAGTTGTTATGCACACTCCGGCAGTAAGGCTTCTAGAACTACAGCGCTCCGCTATTCATTATATAGCGCTCCAACAATAAGGAAAGGCGCTCCAGCACTAAAGTAATAGGCTCCAGCAGTTAAGCTTCTAGAGCCATATCGCTCCAATAGTGAGTTCATTCGCTCCAGTAGTAGAGTTTGCAATCCGGCGTTATTTACATGCGCTCTGGCAATACTGTATTGCTTCATACCACTCCGGCGGTTTTTCAGTTCAATTCGGCACTATGTGATCTCGCTCCAGTAGTATGGTAGATTTCGCTCCGGCAGTTAATTTTCTGGAGCTACAGCGCTCCGACGATATTGTTATTCTCTCCGACAGTTAGGTCTCTGGACTGCCAATTGAACGTTTACTGTACAGTAAGGGCATTTATATCCAAAAAATTATAACCTTTTATTATATAAGGGGTGGGGGGGTTTAGAGGAAAGCTTGTTAAGGGGAAAGAAGCGTGAGAGAAAAATTGGGTGGGGGTAAATTGAGTGAATAGTGCATTTTGGGGGAGGTTTTGTAATTTTCCCTAATTTGTGTCTTGATTTAAATCATGCATAAGTTATATCTATTAAAAAAGTAATTTATCCTCTTGTGCCTCATTCTCTCTCTATCGGCTTCTTAGACGGTGCATTGGAGTGGCGGTTGATCTTACCGCCAAGCAAAGACGGTGCAAGAGGCGCCTTATCCTCTTTATATATGGGTAGTGTGTTCATGTTGGTGTGTGTGTGAGACCATGGGAAAAGGAGGAGAGAGAGTGTTGCGTTGAGATAAAGTGAGAGTGGGTCTTTTGTAAGAGAGAAAGAGGGGTGAGTGGTAGAGAAAAATAGCTTGAGTTGCAATGCGAGATTGAGTGGTATAATACAATAGTAAAGAGTGAGGGTGTGATGCCATTCTATTATCAAATATTTTGCTAGTTTATGTTCACACTGTGGTCATTAGGACCATCAACTCTTTTCAATATTTGACCACGTTTGTGTTCACATTGATAGTGAGGTTTTCTGTTTCATACGTAAAGTAAGGGTTTTATATCTATATATATTTGATATTTTTCTGTCATAAAGCATGGTATTACGTTCCAACCCCAAGACCCTCGTCTTACAAAAGAAAATTATGAAAACTGGTGCATTCAGATGAAAGCTCTACTCGGATCACATGATGCGTGGGAGGTTGTTGTAAAAGGGTACAATGAACCCCAAGCTCCATAAGAGGAAGCTGAAGTGACAAACAATTAGAAGGCTGCTCTAAAAGAATCGAGGAGACCAGACAAGAGAGCTATCTTTTTACTCTATCAGGGCATTGACGAAAGCACCTTTGAAAATGTTGCTTCTCCCACCTCTGTAAAACAAGCATCGGAGATCTTACAAAATGTTTTCAAAAGAGATGAAAAAGTGAAGAAAGTTCATCTGCAGACATTAAGAGCCAAGTTCGAGATGCTTCATATGAAAGAGATAAAATTAATTTCTGATTACTTCTCAAGAGTGTTGGCAATAGCAAACCAACTCAAGAGAAATGGTGAGGTGCTAGATGAGTGTGTATCTTGGAGAAAATATTAAGATCTCTTACCCATAAATTTGAGCACATAGTTGTAGCAATAGAAGAAACTTAAGATTTGTCGACTATGACGTCTGATCAACTCGTGGGTTCCTTGCAAGCCCACCAACAAAGAATGATGAAGAAAACAAATTACTCCTTTGGAGCAAGTGCTCAAAACTAATCTCTCCCTAAAATATGAAAGAGGGGGATTTAGAGGCAGAGGTTAAAGAAGACATGGGGCATTAAATAGAGGTGGAAGAAGCTATGACATTTCCAATTTCAGTGTCGGAAGAGGAAACAGCCAGATGTTGCAATTCTCAAGAGGTCGAGGTGGTAGAAACTTTACTCGACCATTCAATCGTCAAAGGTATGATAGATCTTCGATTCAATGCTTTAATTGCAAACAATTTAGCCATTAGAGTTCTGAATGTATATTTAAGAACTCCCAAAAAAATGGAGAAGAAGTTAGGTTTGTAGAAAAATCCAAAGTAGATCAAGAACCAACCCTCATGTTGGCATGCAAAGAAGAAGACAGTGAATGTAGCAACTCATGGTTTCTTGACAGTGAATGGTAACGTAACATTTGGTGATTTCTCAAAAGTTTTGGTCAAAGGGAAAGGTAAAAGTTTAATCCGACTCAATCCAATGTCTATTATGTGCAAAGCATAAAATAATATTCTTAGTTTGGGACAACTTTTGGAAAAACGTTATGACATTCTTCTAAAGGATTTAGGCCTCACCATAAAAGATAGAAAGGAAAACTTGATTGCTAGAGTTGGCATGTCAAAAAACATGACATTTTCATTAGATATCAAAACTAATTTTTTGCAATGCTTAAATGTATATTTAAAAGACAAGCCATGGTTATGGAACTTGAGGTTTGGACACCTCAATTTTAATGGACTACAATTGTTGTATAATCAAAATATAGTGAAAGGGCTGCCACTAATTGATCATCCAGAACAACTTTGTGAAGGATGTATGCTCGGGAAGCATCACCATGAAAGCTTCCCCAGTGGCGTTTCACATAGAGCATCAAAACCCCTTGAACTCATCCATACAGATGTATGTGGGTCACGTAGCCCAATTTCTTATGGGCAACATAAGTATTTCCTTGCCTTCATTGATGACTTCAGTTAGAAGACTTGTGTTTATTTCATGAAAGAAACATAAGTTTTTGGGATCTTCAAAAATTTCAAGGATTTTGTGGAAAAACAAAGTAGCTATTTTATTAAAGTTTTAAGATCATATATGGGTGGTGAATTGTTCTCAAAGGAATTTGATGAATTTTGCAAGTATCATGGTCTTCTTCATCAATTTACTGCACCATATTCACCCAAACAACGTGGAGTAGCTAAAAGAAAAAACTAAACAACTTTGGGTATGACACGAACCATATTGAAATGCAAAAATACGCCAAAAGAATTTTGGGTTGAGGCGGTCTCTTGTTCTATCTATACTTTGAATAGGTGTCCCACCAAAAGTGTGGGATTTAGGATACCCCAAGAGGCTTGTAGTGGACATGAGCATAATGTCGCACATTTAAGGGTATTTGGGTGCACAACATACTCTCATATCCCACATCAAATGAGAACCAAATTAGAGGACACAAAGTCAAAAATGTATGTTTATTGGCTATAACGGAAAATCAAAAGCTTACAAGCTTTATAATCCTGAAAATAAGAAATTGATAATCAGTAGAGATGTGGAATTTAATGAAGAAGCCTCATAGGAATGGAACAAAAAGGAAGAGAAAAGTCATATAAGGATTGGATTGAATGGAAATGACAATGTGTAAGAGAGATCACAAGAAGAAAATACTCCACCCTCACATCCTCAACAAGAGTCAAGTTCATCTATTTCTTCCATGGATGAAATTTCAAATGAAAGGCCACCAAGGACAAGGCGTTTGAATGAATTTATGCTCAAACATAAAATACTAACAATGAGCGCAATTTATTTTGTTACTTTGTTCAAATAGGTGGAAAAAAGCAATGGACGAGGAGATTCAAGCTATTGAGAAGAATAACACATGGAAGCTTACAACACTTATGAATCAGCATAAAGCAATTGGTGTGAAATGGGTGTATAAAGCAAAGAAGAATGAGAAAGGTGAAGTACAAAGATTCAAAGCAGGACTGATTGCCAAAGGATACAAGCGAAGAGTCGAGATTGATTACAAAGAGGTATTTACTCTTGTTATTAGATTGGATACTATTAGATTAATTATTGCTCTGGCTGCCCAAAGAAAATGGA